CAATTATTGTATACAACATTCACTATGGTATACTTGTTAAGGATTTTTGATCTCATCCTCTCCAACCTTCGAGTAGTGATACCTACCTGTCTACTCTACTTTATCGTAAATGAATCTTATTAAATTGCTTTGAAGTATTTTTAACCAACTTTCATCTCTCAAAAAGTAGCAAAGAAAGTTGCGAACTAATTTAATTAATGAATTTTAAATAAACTCTTTTATTTCCTCTAATCCCCATAAATTTGTAATCCCACTAATCGTTACATTTCTGTATTGCGATACAGTGATACTAGCCTTTTGAAAATTGAGTGAGTTCGCAGACTATGAGGCGTTCACAATTTCCATTAAAAACTGTTAACGAGACTCAGAATTACTAATTAAGAAAAATTTAATGCTTTCAATGGGTTTAAATGATTTTTATTTTTGTTTTTGGGTTCAAAATTTTACTTAACAGCACATTAACAAAAAATAAAGAAAAAAACAGAAACAAAACAGTTTTCAAGATAAAAAGTTTGGTTCATGTAGGCGTTTCTTGATGGTCGTCTAGTCGCCTCAAAGTGTTAAAAAACAAAAAAAAAAAAAAAAAAGTTTACAACTGAAAATGATCAATGAAAAAAGGCGCGTTTAGTGAAATAAAAACGTGCCGCATGTAAAATAAAATGCATTTACGCCGAACACAGAATATGAGTGAGTATCTTTAACTATTTGAACTCATTTAAATGTAAACAATATTTTAATGAATGTGTTCGTGCAGACCTCATAGACCTCGCCGAGACCACACAAACTAAGCCGCGGCCGTTTAAGCTCTGTAATTTATGTTATTTTGCACATTTTTTAGCCAAAATTGAATTTTTGAATTAAAAATTGTGTTTAAAAAATTAAAAATTAAAAATCAAAAATATATTAATAATAAAAATAAATGAAAAGGCGGCAAAAATTTGTGCCAAGCTGGTAATTTTTTTACATAATGGCTGTATTTTTGTTTATATGGTTTGTTGGGTTTTGATTCTCTTGAAATACCGTCCGTCTTAATAAAAATTTTTGATTACCAAAATTGAAAAATGAAATTTATTGAAACATGCCACAGAGGTATTGAAGCGCAAGTGTGGGCCGATATTTGCGCAAATTTAATTTAAGTGTTTTGAAATTTAATACTTAATACTTAAATTAAATGCTGAAATTGTAAGGAAAATTGTTTTAAATGTGTGATTTTATTCTATACTCGTATACAATTTTTCTATACTTCACAGGCATTGGCAATGCCTGCCCACATACTCTCCTATGCCAAATCAATAACTCTTCAGCATTTTCACAAGTATCTGAAGACTATTGATTACAATAATTTACTTAGTTGCCGGAACAACGTTGCTTTTAATTAAATAATAACAATTAGCATATGTTGTTTTTTAGGAGAAAAAGATATATGTAATTAAACGTTAAACAATATATTGAACAAATTAAATTTGCAAGACAGAGTCGTAGATACAAAAAAATAAAAGATACTTTACTTTTTGAACAATAGTAGTAATTTTTTCTTTTAGAGTGGCAAAAAAAATGCTCGCAATTTACAAAAGAAAACATGTGAAGCAACAACAATGCTCTTAAAATCTTCAGAGTTAGGCTTAACTCGCAAAATATTTCACGTCTTAAATTTCAGTGCAGCCAAATTCAAAAATCGGACTATTGTGAATATTAACTGGAAATATGTTACGAACTTCCAGTCATCTGCTCAAATCATATGAGCATATATATATACATATTATTAACTAATAATTTATAAATAAATAAATTAATTTAAATATATAAGATACAAATGGCTACCACTGCCTTACTACTATTCATTTTGTTTTATTTTATTTAAATTAATAAATTTTTAATGTTTAATAAAAGTAATGCCAATTCGTTTCAACCAGACTTATTGCTGTTTTTTAACAACTCTGAAGGAAAAAATTACGGTTTATGTAATCGTTTAATAAATATAATTAAATCATGCCATCTTAAAACTTTGGTTTTATCAATAAATTTTTTTTATTTGTTTACACTGTCATTAGTTCAAGCAATAAAATTTTTATAATCTTTCAAAATCGTTACAAAATTATTGTACCACAGTTATTTCTAGAGACTGAAACTCTGTACTGTGCCATATGATCACTAAGTGCGGAACTAATAAATATTTATAATTGATTCAGTTTTGGAAAACAAAGTTAATTGTTAGTTGCATTTGCTTAGAGATTGAATAACTATTGAATGTTGAAGGAACTTTTCTATGGTTAGGTGTATAAAAGTTTGCATAAAGTGAACTTCGCATACATACGAAAAATTGACCAAAAGTTTTAGGGGAGTAGAGCCTTACCTACATGATAAAAATGTTTCTATGAAATATTTATGTCTGTTGAGTATATGAGTTAATACAACTGTAACATCATTACCAGGTTGTGGTGTTTCCAATACGAGCAAAAAATAAAACGTCACCAAAAGATATAACATCACCTTTTCAGAAGAGTGAAATCGAGGATTCGCAGCAAATTTCTGTATATCCAGTTTCTCATAGTAAATTGCTTTAACAAAAAGAGGCAACCTATTCTTAAAGTCAAATAACCACAACTGTAGTGCATAATTATTGCTGACCTACTTCAAACTGGACTATCTTATCTTCAGGACAAAGTAGGCGCTACCGTAAGAAATACTTTTTATTGGCCTTGTCTGAACAGGATCATCCTATCTTTAAGGTAAAATCGACACTGCCGTGGAGTATATGTTTGATTGGGCTTACCCATTCAAGGACCATACTATCTTCAAGACAAAGTAGGCACTGCACGGATTGTTTTTATCCGTACTGCGCTATTTTACCTTTAGAGCAAAGTAAGCTCTACCAGAAGCAATAATTTTTATTGGTCTTATCCAAACAGGGTCATAGTATTTTTAAGTTGAAAAAGGCTCTTCCAAATGCAATATTTTTTATTGACTTCATTCAAGCAGGACCATTCTATCTTTAGGGTAAAGTTGGCACTGCCATATGGAATAATTTTTATTGGCCTTATTCATTCTGGACTATTTTAGAGTAGGCGGAGTAGGCACTACCATAAGGAATAATGTTTATTGACCTTATCCGAACTGGACTATTTCACCTTTAAAGTAGAGCAAGCACTACCATAGAGAATAATTGTTATTAGTCTTATCGAAACAGGGCCATCATACTTTTAGGACAAAATAGGCCCTGTCGTATGGAATATTTTTTATTGGCCTTAATCGGTCAAGACCATTCTATCTTCAAGGCAAAGTAGGCACTGCAATATGAAAAAATCTTTATTGGTCTTATCCGTACTGGGCTATTTTACCTTTAGGCCAAAGTAGCACTATCGTAAAGGATTATTTTTATTGGTCTTATCCATACTGGACTATTTTACCTACAAGGGAGAGTATTATTTTTACTGGTCTTAAGCATACTGGGCTATTTTACTTTCAGCGTAGTGTAGGTACTACTGTAAGGAATAATTAATATTGGTCTTATCCAAACAGGACTATCCTATTTTCAGGGTTAACCAATTTATTTATAGTTATAATACTTATTTGTAATAAAAATTGTGTGTTGTTTTTTATTGAATTAGAGGGAGACAGTGTATAATCAGTTATCCTCTGGTATTGAATTCTCACTGACGGTCCTGACGAACCTATCTATACCGTTGGTTTTCATATAACTATCGGTATATATGGTCAGACCTTTATGAGGAACTTTCTGACAATGTAGTATTACTGCATAGCCAACTTATACTAATCCTAATAAGACAATGAATTTTTTGTCACAGTTAGGAGTAGTAAAGATGTAATCAATTTATCTACCAAAGGAACAGTATAAACGATCGTGTGAACAGCATATGAATGTATGAACGATCTTAAAATGGATCGTTCATCAGCAACCTTTTCTGTACTCCACTGTTACCACTTCAGCTTTACAAAAGCAATTCTGTGTATTTCACTATAGCCAAAGTTGGCTTCAAACATTGTTGTTACCATTAAAGATCATAAAAATGTATAATTTTAGCTGCTGTTGTGTCTGCTGAAATTGGGAGTTGAAATTGACAGCTGACACCTGTTATTATGCAGAACCGTTGAAGTCTTTAAGCTGGCAAAGCAACGTTAAATTATAGCAATTTACTAATTTTGGTTTTGATCATAAAAATTATGCATTATGTAAAGTTTATAAGCTTAAAGTATCTTTAACGTTGATTTTATTTTATGCACTCGAAGTTTACTTGCCGCGGTCGCGGCCGCTGTGCGTAGGCTGCATGCAGCAAATACTTTGCATCAACGCATTTTTGACAAATGACATAGTTTAGTCTAAATGTCATAAAGTTTACTCCTCTGCACTCGGTTAATGTGTCGGATTTTTTACTTTAATATTTAACCATTTAAACAGTTAAGAAATTATTTAAAGAAACCAACTCATTTCAATAATAATAATTTTTACATTGAACTCAATGATATAAGCGTGCATAACAGACGAAATGTCGCAAGTGTTGAGGTTTCAATTAAGATTTTATGACTTGCAGTGCGGATTCAAGTATTAAAATGTATTAAAATTAGTATTGCTTAAATAATAAAATAAAGTTTCAATAAATTATACTTCAACTATTGGACACTTATATTTACTTACATTTTTTGTTTTTTTTTTGTTTTGTGAATAAATAATCTATATAATCTATTGATATAAATAATTTCAATCTCTGCATTCTCCACACTATAATTTATGGTAAAAAAAAACCAACTAATTGTGGCATAAATTTTATTTTTATTTAGTATATAATAATATTTTTTTGAAATATATTTCAGCTCGACTTGTTTTTCAATTGTGCGAATATAAAAACTAATCTCGAAATACTTTCGCAATTAAATA